GGGGGGGCAGGGGAGGATGGGCGGGGTGCAGATGCTCTGTTCATATCTCTGTGTGTGTCAGGTGATGGTCTGTCTGTTCGAGGGCCTGCACGCGCTGGTCTCTCATCGTTTTGAGGTGAAAAAAACATCACACACACACGTGCCCAAATCGGTCTCTCTCTCTCTCTCTGTGCATGCACTCATTTGCCGGCAGGAGTCGAAGCGTCAGCTTACGAATCTGGTGGAGATGGCCTCCTCCGATCTGCGTGAGGCCCTCAGCTGCGGCCTTGGGGTGGCCACCGTATATCGAGGGCTCGCTCACGCGTACTGCGCAAATGACGACCTCGAGGCAAGGAACAAAAGCCTGTACCAGGAACCTTACACCATCACGCCATCAAAGGCTGCTCCTGTTCTATCTTTTCATGCAGGGCCATGCGCGTCTGCGGGCCCATCAGGTGTGTTTGCGCCTGCTGCATTTGTCGATGGACTTCGTAACTGAGAGTTTCGTCAAGAGCGGCAACTCGGGCGCCTTCATCGACGAGTCGTCTTGGCCCATCACCATAAAGGAGCTGGTCGACGAGCTCAACAGCGTGGCCGGCACACTCACACACGTATATATATCATGCCCGAGGAGAATGGCGGGGGCAAGAGGTGCACAATGCTCCCTTGTGTTGTGTGTGTGTCAGGTGATGAGGGCCCCCGCAGGCCATCCAGTGCGCTTGCCCGATGTGCCGCAGACGTATCGTGATCCGTCGCTGAAGATCGGCATCGTCAGTCTGTGTGCATACCCGCCGGACCACCCACTGCCGCCCCTCGCCATATCCAACAAGGTCCGCCGCACCCAGATCCCACACACACCCAATCACCTGTGTGTGTCTCTCTTCATGCATTCAGGAGTTGTACGCGTCTTATCATGGCTACCCTCTGTATGTGGAGACCAACAGAATATTCCCCGACCGGCCGGCCGCGTGGGGCAAGATCCGCCTCGTGCAGCAGGCCATCAGGGCCACCAAGACCAGTTCCACGTCGCTGCCTCTGCCGGCTGTGGATTGGGTATTCTGGATGGACTGCGACAGCTACTTCATGAACTTCAACATCACACTCGACTCCATACTCTTGCGATATGCCGGCACCCAGAGCCTGGACGGCACTGGCAGCAGCAGCGACACATATGAGGTGGACCCGTCAGTGCGTCTGCTGGTGACGGAGGACGGGTCGATGCTCAACACGGGGGTGTTCTTCACCAGGGCCACACGCACCAACTGGGAGATGCTGCAGCGGGTGTGGGGGGAGGAAGACTCACCGTTCATCAACCACCCATGGTGAATACATGGGCAAAAGCGAGCCATGGACGCATCTGTGCACTCATGTGTGTGTGTCTCTCTCTGTTTACTAGGTGGGAGAACGCGGCCATGACGTGGGAGCTGCTCAAAGACCTGCCGAGAAAGGCCTTGAATATCGACTCGGTGAGCGGCGATACAAATGCGAAAATAGACATCACTGCCTGCCTGCCTGCCGCCCTTACACACAGGATTACGAGCCGAGTGTGGGTGGAGATGGCTCCCATGAGGAGCTGGTGAGGGCCTCTCTGTCGTTTGTATATCCCGAGGGCGTGCTGCTGGTGCCCCAGTACGAGTGGAACTCATACCACCCCATAACCTCACGGCTGCTGATGGACACCTGGGAACCAAACAAGTTCATCCTCGCATTCTCCGGTCAGCCACAGCCAGACCAACACCACACCAAACGAGACACCACTGCAAACAGCTGCACACGCACCCCTGTTTGTTTTACGTGTGGTCCATCCATGGATTCAGGTGTCCCCAGCAGCAGCAGCCCAGCGGTGCTGCGGCACCTCTTTCTCAACTACTACAGGCAGGCCTGTGACCTCAACCCACCCGAGACTCTCAGCAAGCGGGCCGAGGCAGCCGCCTGGACGAGTGGGGCGGTGCCTTCCCCTGTGGACAGCTGCCGGGAAGTGGTAGACAGACACACACTGCCGCTGCCGTGGGCAGACACGGCCGTGTGATGTGGTGGGAAGACGTGATGGCGTGATGGATGGATGGATGCATCGATGGATTGATGTGACGTGTGTGTGCGCGTGATGCGACGCAATTGATGCGACGAATCCAGTCAGCGGAGAAGACTCTCCGCTTCATGCATTCGATCATGATTTCGATGTACGGAATGTGTGCATACAGCATAACCAGAGCGACAGCGACATAGAATATGGCATGGCCGAAATGCACGACGTAAGATGTCGTGCCGCCGCCACCAGCGCGAGCTCAAGGAAGAAGCCCCCACTCGCCCCCCGTGTGGAGGAAAGAAGAAAAGAGTCAAAGAAGCCACAGCAGCGGCATCGTACAGCATTGTGCAGCATCATAAAGACAAGATGGACGTATTGGCCTTCTTCATGGGGGTTTCGATGTTTTTCTATCTCCTCTTCGGTTTCATCGAGTACACCGGATCCTTCTTCCTCGAGACCGTGCAGCTCAACCCCCACATCCCACTCGACGAGCACCTTCAGGTCATCAGGCGCTGATTGAGCCCGCAAGAAGCTCAGCTAACTGACTCACTTACCCAGCCAATTGATACCATGGTGGCCGTGCCGTTCTTTGTGACGACTGTTGCGGTGGTGTGGGGCGGAATGACGGTTGGTGGATTGGTGATGAGCATCATCATGGCTGTGTGTCAATTCCTCGACAACCAAGTCGACTTGTCGCTGTGGGACAGCGTCCGCATCGCCTGGATCCCCTCGTGTGAGTGGTGAGGGACGTGCGCCGACTCAAGTAAGAAATGCGCTCTCTCTCTCTCTGTGTCTCATTCTCTCTCTCCCTCCATGTCTCCGTCCTGTTATCCTTCCCTTTTGACCCTCAGACCTTTGAGGGCCTTGGGGCTCGTCTCTTCTCGTTCTCGTCCAGTTCGTCCGAGTCGTCACTTGACTGGCCGAGGAAGGGACTTCGTTTGGTGCGGGGTTTCCATCTTTTCTCTCCGTTTTTGAGGGCAGCGGCAAATCAGTCCAGCAGAGATCAAGCCATGAGCCCACAGCATGATGGTGCTGCTTTGCGGTGGTTCGCGGGGCGTGGCTAATGGGCACTTTGTGGTGGACACTTTGCTCGGAGAAACAAAGAAGCTGCGCAGCATCCCGGGTATGGCCCTCGTTGATCCCATTGCATGAGTGAGGACGGCCTGGAGAGACACACCAGGTGAGACTGCCTGCCAGGCAACCTGCATATTCACACCTCTCTGCATGGCTGTGTGTCTCCTCCTCCAGCCTTTTGCCGAGGAGCGGCTGAGGCCTGTCCATCCTCTCTGACTCAACGCACATCAAAAGACAGGAAGGTCCAGAGGCCGAGCAGTTACAGCCCAGAGGGACGTTATGCGACCCCGTGGCCGTGATGATCGAAGACGGGGGGCCCAATGTGTAAAGCAGCCACACACCCCTAACGAGACATGACATGGCTGCGTGCCGACCAGACGCCGATAGCGCCATCCTTGGCCCACTATCGGCGCCTCGAGCCCTCTTTTGCTCCGGCCGCTGCCACATAGGCCCGATCGTGTCAGCGCGTCAGCGCCCGTCAGTCTCACAGCGAGTCATCACCATTACCCTCAAGAGTCGCCTGCCGTCACTCATTCGAATGGACAACAACGGTCAGCGAACCTTCCGCCTTAGCAGCTCATGTCTCTGATCCCCGCCCCATATCCCCCCTGGTCCTATCGTGCCTGAAGGGCTATGTCGGCACTGAGCAGCCTCTCGCCTTCCAGCACCAGATGCAACCGAGAGACTGCTTCTCTATATGAAGGCGCGGCACCGTCGCCAAGCGGCCAAGAAGGCACACACGAGAGGGCCCCGGCTGAGGCAGTGGGGGCCGCCACTGCGGCCATCTCATTCACACGAGCAAGCTACCCTGCCGGCAGCTCAGCTAGCCAATGGCCATATGATCTCGGCCTGTCTCTATCGTCGCTGCCCTCATCTGGCCACTGCTTACGCCTCGGTGATGGCATCACACAAGGGACGGCAGCCCCAGCCAGCGACCCACTGATGTACCCACCGAGTGGCGGGTCCGCCAGATGGGGCGATGCTGAGGATGCGCAGCTCCCCCCGCCCAACCCTCCACTCATGCGCAGACCCACGTCGTCCCAGTCGTTTTATGGCGTGTTGGTCCCTGACATCACTCTTCGAGGGCCCCCTCTGCGGCAAGGCAATCAGCGGGACAGCTGTAGGCGCGAGAAAGTCGAGTTCCCTCGGAGCCTTGCCGATCGATCCGTCGCGGCCTCACGAGGAGAGAGGAGACGCGAAGCATGCTGCAGATGTCTCACTGCCCCCGTCTCGCCTCTGTCCTTGCCGTGTCGCCCGCCCTTCCACTCTGTGTGGACGCTTGGGCAACAAAGTCTACCTCACGGTGACGTCCCCCCGATGCCAACCAAGTCATTCTATGGGGCTGCGGCATATTGTCGGTGTGCTTCAGCAGCCCCGAGAGACACAAAGGATCAAGTCCATCAGCAGGGGACATCCCGCCGCCTCACTTGCCCGGCAGAGACCTCCCCTCTCCGACGGCTCGACACGACTGTGCGCCCGGTGACAAGGCAGCGGCTGCGTCGTGTCTCCGTCTGCGACAAGGAAGGTGATAAGGTGCGGCCCGCCGGGCCTTTTGGCTCTCTGCCCCCGTCGTCTCCGTGGCGCTGCCGACACCATCCCACGGCAGTCTTGTGTTTCGCTTCGTTGCGGAAAATGTCCCGTATGGGCACTGCCGTTGTGCGTGAGGGCATGTTCATTGCTGGGAGTGTTTTCCCGTGAGAACGTGTTGTTTGCTCGGGAGGGCTATTTCTCTGTGTACGTAAGTCAGCCAGATGCCTGTCGATTCATGTCATCCTTATTTGCTTACACACTCACTGACGCCCCAGCCTTTGCTCAAACGGCGCGTCTCTCTTGTGGTGTCGCGTCTATGAGGCGATTGCATGTTTGTTTGCTTTCGTTGTATCTCTTTTTCGTCTGGCACTTCTCCTGCTTGGGAAGGGGAGATTTTCTTGACGATTAGTGGGTGTGGGTCGAGGCCGTGTTTGTGCTTTGTGCTTTTGGCCCTTCCAAACAGAGACGCCTCGTGTACATTAAACGCACATGCGCAGCGGCATGCAGTTTCTTTCTGCGGGGATTTCATGGGTGTCATTCACGCAAAACAATCAGCTGTAAGACGCTGCTGCATTGAGTGTACGTGTCTCTGATCGGTGTGTCTCAACATAAACCATATGTACACACACCCAGTAACGAAACAAAGTCATCCTCGCATTCTCAATCAGACCCCCCCGAGACACTCACCAAGCGGGCCGAGGTGGCCGCCTGGACGAGTGGGGCGGTGCCTTCCCCTGTGGACACCTGCCGGGAAGTGGTAGACAGACACACACTGCCGCTGCCGTGGGCAGAGGCGGCCGCGTGATAAGCTAATGGGGGCGTGAGGGGGATGGATGGATGGATGGACTGGTGTGACTTGTGCGTGATGCGACGAATCCAGTCAGCGGAGAAGACCTGGCTTGTCCGCACCATCGAATTCGATGTAGCCGTGTGTACGTGTGAGATGCGACACATTCAGTGTGAGATGCGACACATTCAGGGTTCCTGAGTTCATTCACTCCATGCATGTCGATATGGTCTTCACCAAAAAAGTCTCACATGCCAATCTGTCGACATGGCTGTAAGTATGTCTGTCTGTCTGTCCATACATTCACACGTTCAAGGCAGCCACGGGAAAAAGGGACCGACTTATAAGAGATCCACATCATCGCATGAAAACCCTTCCCTCTTCCGCACCGCCGGCCGCCCACAATCCATCGCACAGCGAGCCGCATACCTGACAGAACACGGACAGACGACAAAAGGGAAAAGAAACACGACCCTCATTTCAATTCCCCCTCTTCCCATGAAAGGGAGTCGCCGCATCGCACCTGGTGTGTGGTTGTGGTCTGTGCAGCTCGTCGCCTGTCAACCGAAGAGCATCTGAAACTGCTCGTTCGTCAGGGCGTCGCGCATGAGTCTGGTGGTCTGTGGGTGGCGGGATGGCCCCCGCTCTCCGCGCACCGCCCTCTCCGTGGTCAGCACCGCCACCTCGATGAGTAGGCCCTCCCTTTCCAGGTGCAGATAGGCGGCAAAGTCATGGCTCGCCTGGTCGCCGTGCAGGAACACCTCCCTGGTATGTTGGACTGGGAGTGTGTTGCTGCACTTGGTCGCAATGGTGTGGCGATTGAGGACGGGGGGCGGCTGGCTCACCAACTCCAGGAAGGATCCAGCGTCGGGCCCATGAATCGTCTTGCGGGTCGCGATGCTGAGCTGCATGGGGACCCAGTGAGGGAAGGGCACCAACCTGAATGGACGAACAGGCAAAGGAGGGAGAGGGAGGGTGTATGTGTGCGCTTTGGGGCTGCTCTCTGCTTGCCTCATCGTGATGGCATCACTGAACGACGCGTAGGTGTCATTAGTAAGTGCAATGCCCACCACACAATGAGGGCAGAGAAGCACTCCCATCTCGCTATGCGCTTGCTTACCTGTGCACGAGGGATCATTGCTGTTGAACGAGTTGCGATCTCGCGGGCGGTCATGCAGTCTGATGGGCACACCGCCCAGCTGCCCATCTTGCAGCACACCCGCGGCAGGCTGGTAAGGCATGGCCTGTGCACCGCGATACAGGCGATGGCCGAACAGCAGATACACCTTGATGCTGTCGGGGAGGCGGCTGTAGCTGGGCGTCGAACGCACCCTCTCCATGTCACTCGCCGACAGAGTGAGCGGCAGCGGCTCCTTCACACCTCTGCCGGACAAACCACACACACACACATACACACACACACACACACACACACATACACACACACACAGAGTGACAGTGAGCTCCGATGCCAATGTGCACTGTGTGAAAGCACTTACCCGCAGTGGTTGGCGATGCGCACCCGCCAGGCCCACTCCTCCCACCCACGTATCCTCTCCAGCAGGCACATCAGGAACAACAGACAGCCCTCACCTGCCTCCGATTCCACAGCAAAGACGTCACTCAGACGCCGCTTCTCGAGAAGACGGCTGATCTGCCGCACAAGGAAGGCCGGGTTGACCAGCTGCCGGCCTCGGCGGTACGCGCAGCGGTAGGCCGCGAGTGTATCTGACGTCGAAAGGCGGTCGCCAATGGCTCCACGGGGGCCGTCAGGAAGCGTCGCAATATAGCATGTTTGTAGTCCGACAGTCATCGCGGCTTCTGGAGGGTTGCTTGGCCTTTCACAGAGCGCTCGCTTGTTGTCAACGAAGGAAGGAATGCACAGCGATCCTGTGCGAGCTTGAATTGGAGATCTGATGCCCCTGGGCAATACTGTCAGTGCTGTCGGCTTCGCGCATCGTCCGCACCGCTTTCGCCTTCCGCCTCCCTCATCCATCGCTGCTCTGCACCCACCACACACGGCCCATCAGCTGGGCTCACTCGTCAGCCGCGGCCCACCCGACAACAATCATGAAAGCCTGGCGGACGGAGAAAGAGCGCCTCGAGGACGACCTGAAAGAGATCAACGAGAAGCTGGCAACGGAAGCAGACGACGCATGCCGGTCGCAGCTGCAGCAGGAGGCGCGTGAGCTGGTGCACAGACTGGCCAACGTGTACCGGGATGAACACGAAGATGATGATGATGATGATCCGCCGGCCCTGGAGGGGCTGGATGACATCCCTCAGGTGCGTTCGCCACGACACGGATGGTCACATATGTGTCTTTCTGACGACAGTCTCTATGTGGTTTGGTGTGGTGTGGTGTTGTTTTGTGTGGTGTCGTTGATGCCCACAGGTGGAGATCGACGCGGGGGTGTTCAAATATGCATTGATCGAGGCCACGGACCCGTCGACCAAGGAGCGGAAGCCCTTCATCCGCGGCAGCACCGATGCGTCCTACCACTACCAGGCCGCCATGATGGTCACAGACAGACTGGATGCCCTCGGCATCGATTACGAGGTGACAGGAGGCGGCCGCATCCGCCACTCGCCAGCCAATAAGGAGATAGAGATCTACGGCTACTCCAACGCATACGGCCGGGCGGACCATGCGGTGACTGCTGAGCTGTGCCAGCAGAAGTACCCCAACTACAAAGTCACCTGGGGCAACTATGGCTACTGATGGCAGAAGGACAAGGGCAGGGAGGGGAGGGGACGGCAGGGGAGGGAGGGTGGATGGACGCCTTAGAGTGTCGTGTGATGTGCATTTTGCCCTTTTGGTGATCTGCCGGATTGCCGGACAGACGGACAGATCAATCTCAATCAATGTGCTGCCTGTGGTTGGTGCGTGTGGGAGACCAACTTTCTTGCGTCGTGTACAGTGAGTAAAAAGGCTTATCAGTGTGTCGCTTTCGCTCAAATCGGAGCTTTACTAACACATGAGTGTGGTGGTGTGTCCATCCACCCAGCTGTCCATGCTACAGCACACCATGCGTCAATTAGCCTGCACGATGCGCACAACGACCTCTCACACTCACACAATCAGACAGCATTCAGACATACACCCGGCACGGCACACCCACAGCACTCCCACACGAGGGATGCACGGGGCAGCCATGCCAAAAAACGGTCACATCAATCAGGCAGGCAGGCAGGCAGGGATGGGAACGTGCCGACCGCTCGGCCGTCTCCTCTCATGTGTGTGTGTGAGAAGAGAAGAAACAGCCGAACGGTTTGCGGCACCCCCTAGAGTGAGCAAACACTTCCCGCCCGCCCGTCACACACAGGTCAACCGAAGGCCGTCATGGCCAGCTCCACACACACATGGCATGGCCGGGCAGACACACCCACATGTGTGTGTGAGGGCTGGGGGGCAAAAGTGTTGAAACGACAGCCAGACGGTAACACAGCAGGAAGACGCAACTCTGCTACAGACGTACGCCGGTCAGTCAGTCGAGCACACACACACACACACAGCTCGTGCCCGCCCCCAGATAGAAGGTGAGTGGATCAATCCGTCCACAGCTCTCCCCTGTCGCCCCAAGCTACAATCCCCACTTCTCCCTCCCTCCCGCCCTTCCCACCCCGCCACCCTCGCCCTCCCCCCGGTGTGTGTGTGTGTCTAGATTTCTAGTTCGCGCCACTTTGAGAAGACCATGAATTTGCCATTGTCCCTCATGCGCCACCAGAGGCGGAAGACGACGGTGGCGTAGCACATGGGGATGGCGGTCCAGAGCATGAGCTCCGTCCATGCGCGGGCGCCCAGTCCGCCCCACTCGCCGCGGTCCACCTGCCAGAACCACAGGTTGAGCCGCGGGTCCAGCGATTTCTTGGGCTTGGCGTTCCAGTCGCTCAGGCTCGTCTCCCCGTTGTACTCCCACCACTTGGCCATCGCCTTCTTGACGTAGTGCTGGTGGTTGCGCCAACCGTTCCGAATCAGCCAGTACGCTGGCCCGCCATGACGCGGCAGCTGCACAAACACACACAATCCACACAGCACCGCACGAAGCAGGCAGAGAGAGGGAAGGACACGATGAGGGGTGAGCTGGCGGTGTGGTTTGCGCTTCTTTCCGTAGCAGCGTACCATAGGCGGCGCGAGACGCACATTGCTGACCCTCATCTTGCCCGATGAGGCCCAGCCCTCAAACAACACCTCCCCCTTCGCAAGCTCGCAACTCTCACTCCCGCTTTTTTCTTCCCCTTTTCTCCAAACGTCGCGATGCGCCAGAAGATGTGCAACAGCCCTTGAATCAGCGCGCGAAATCAGCCCACTGATCTACCCATAATGTCTGACGTCCGCGAGCGGGACAGGGAGAGGGAGAGGGAGAGGGATGACCGTGATGCCGCATCTGACGGGGGAAACAGGCGGCCGAGAGATCACGATCAAGACGATGAACGAGACGACCGCCGTGAGGAGCGGCGAGAGCGTGAGGGTGACAAGCACCGGGAGAAGGAGAGGAAGCGCAAGAGGAGATCTCGGGACGAGTCGAGCGATGAGTCATCGTCGGAGTCCGATGATGATGTCAGCAGGAGCGCATCGGACAGCGACAGCGAATCTGACAGCTCAGAGTGAGGGAGTGAGTGAGTGAGAAGACGTATACACAGACATGCAATGTCATTCGTTGTGTGTGTGTGTGTGTGTGTGCTTACATGTGTGTGCAGGGATGAGCGGCGTCGTCGGAAGCGTCGGAAGAAGGAGAAGCGTGACAAGGAGCGGCGGAAGGAGAAGAAGAAGGACAAGAAGCGCAAGAAAGATAAGGACAGGAAGAAGAAGAAAAAGAAGGACAAGGGGGACAAGGACACCGCCAGGGCGGGGGCGGGTGAGTTTCTTACCACCAATCCACACACGCTGCCACACACAGATGCACCGCACCCGCTAGTTTGCCATGTCTGAGTGTCTTGGGCTGTGCTGTGGTGCAGTGACTGATCAGTGGGGCAAGTTCGGCCAGCTAGTCGAGACGGACCTGTGGCGGAAGCGGCCTGAGTTCCAGCTATGGCTCATGGAGGTCAAACAAAAGACGCTGGAGGAACTGTCCAACTGGGTCAGGGAGCGAGGGAGGCAGGGACCCCCGGGCAGTCAGTGCTCACATACATGTGTGTGTTTGTGTGTTTGTTCGTGTGGTGTGTTCTGTGCAGGAGGAGAAGCAGTTGTTCCGCGACTACATGGAGGACTACAACACAGCCACACTGCCGCACCGCAAGTACGCCAACACCACCACACACGTGACCAGCACGACACAGCAACATCGCACTGTGTCGTGCGTGTTTGTGTGTGTTTTGGTGTGTGTCAGGTATTACAGCCTGCAGGACTACGAGGCCGAAAAAGCCAAAAAGGTGAGACACATGACATACCCGCTATGTTCATACGCACATTGTCGGTGTGTGTGCATCCGTCCACCAGCCGCCCAAGAAGCGCGTGGAGGAGCCCTCCAATGTCGTCTCGTTCGACGACGAACGATCCAGAAAGTAACACACACGCATCACACACTGGGGAGAGCGGACGGCGGAGCCCTCAATGCCTTTCTGTCTCTCTCTGCTGTGTGTGTGTCGTCAGGGAGGAGATCCGGAAGATCCGTGACGCGCGGGCCCGTGAGGCGCAGCAGGAGGCATTTGCTGGCATGGACGAAGAGAAGGTATTCATGCATACACACATCCGCAGGGCACTCGTACGAGCGCCACTGCATGTCCTCTCTCCCTTCCTGTGTGTGGTGTGTGTCTCGGCGTGTGTGGTCAGGTGGCTGCGATGCGTCGGCAGCAGGGGCTCAAGAACCAAATGCAGACGCTCTTTAAGTGAGACGACTACCAACCACACCGCATCAAAGACCAGAGAACGCGCTGGCCATGCGTGTGTGTGAGACTGTGTTTTGTAGGATGGGTCGGTATGACGAGGCCGAGAAGATCCAGAAGCTGCTACAGCCGGATGAGAAATGAAGCATGTCGTCCGTCACTGTGGCCGGAGGGAGGGAGGGAGGGAGGGAGGGAGGGGTGTGTATGCTGCACTCTGATGTGACCATGTGCAACATGGACGACTGGTTGAAATGGAATGACGTGAGGCATGGAATAAAGCCGACAGAGTGCGTCTGGTCTGCGCGTGCGGGGAATCAAACATTAATTCCATCTTGCTCTCTCTTTCACTGCTGCATTACATCCCATCCGTTGTCACTCTTGTGCCATTGAGCGATTCATGCGATGACGGCCACCCATCAAGCTCTCTGTCTGTCTGTACAGTGTTGCTTTCCCTTGATCGCTCTGAGCCTCACCCTCTGTCTGTCCCTCTGAGCATTCCTGTTGCAGGCCGCGGGGGTGGGGAGGAGGGACAATCTGTCAGTCAGTACACAGACGCCGCAGCTGATGCAGGCAGCTACGAGTGCTGGCTACATCTAGCATCATGGGTTGGTTAAGATCTATCCCTCCTGCTCCTCACAGCCGCCCTCCACCTCTCCCTCCGAGTCATCGCCCTCCCCATCGCCATCGCCATCGTAGCTATCATCATCCGCTCCCACGTTTGTCGCCACCTCGGCGGCCTGCACCACATGCTGCTGATAGAGGGCCTGCAGACGCTCCTCATCCACACGAGGCCGGAAATGGAGGAACAGAAACCGCACCGCCTGCGTGATTAAGACACAACCAGACAGTTAACAAGCTGACAGTGTGTATTCGCTACGCGTGGGATGCAGGTGACTCACCTGAATTGCGATCCCATGTCATTGTGTGTCTGCAGCGCTGCTACCTTGTCCACGCCGCCGGCCTGCACGGAGGTCAAAGAAAGATAGCCGTGTGGATGTTGGTCGCTCCCCATTATGCTCTCTCTCTCTCGTTGTCTCACCTGCTCTAGTAGTGTGCAGTAGGGGTTGTCGGGGAGGCCCTCGTTGGCCTGCTTCTGACGACCCACACTGCACACACGAATGCAACATGCCGGCAGCAGACATGAGCAACACACAAGCAGGTGGGCGTTGGACCTACCTTAGTACGTCATCCAGCGCTGAGAGGATGGACTCCAACACCTCACCGTCATCTTCGGCGCCATTGAGCAGGTCACATATGGGCCGAATGCCGCCGCACTCAACCACATAGTCAATCTGCACGATTTAGCGGACAGGTACACACCCGCCCACACAAATGTGCCACACACGGCACAGGAAATAAGTCGTGTGTGGCCGGCTGGCAAACATACAAACCTGTTGCTGCGATCCTCTGACTACAATACTGCCGATATTCGCTGCTGCCCTCTTCTTCAGGTCGGCATCGCTGTCCCCGCTGGCCACCAGGTCAACCAGCAGAGGGACCAGGCCGCCATCGATGAGCGTCTGCACATGGGCAGTGCTGCCTGCATCCAATCAGCCCACCCAAACAGCACAGCACCCTACACATGACGTGGGTGGATCTATGTGTGTAGCTGTCTTACCTAGAGCCAGGAACTGCACTATCGCACAAGCGACAGCTTTGATCTTTGGCTCGGCCATCTGCAGCAATGGCTTGATCGACGCGACGGCGCCACACTCGACCAAAGCGTCAAGGTCAGCATCGGTACCTGTGGGGCAGGCAGGACACAATGAGCCATGTACGCAGCCAGTGATGGTGTTTGGTGCACTTTCACGGAAACTCACCTTGCTCATTGAATTGAATCACAAATTGTTGCAGCGCCCCTCGTGCGCATTGCAGCACATTGTCGTCCTGCTGCGGCGCGGCGATGAGACCGACCAGCACCGGCAGGAAGGGCACCAACTCGGCCAGTGGGACAGGGTGGGGCGAGTTCTCGGAGACACTCCACAGATAGCACAGCAGGTAGGCACTCCCGGTCAGCACGGCGACGTTGCTGCTCTCGCGCATCGCCTTCAGCAGCGGCTGCAGGACGCCGGCGGCCAGCACGGCATCGCGACAGGTCGATGACTCCGTCGTGATAATGCACAGCGCCGCGATGGCCGCTCCACGCACATTGTCATCGGCTGACGACACGAGCTGCACCAGGGGCGGGACGGCACCCGCATCCACCACCAAATCGCTATGATGCCTCGCCAGTCTGCTAAGGGCCAATGCTGCGGGTTTCTGCACCTTGTCGCACCCGCTCAGCTGCTCGACCAACACAGGCACCAGACCCGCATCGATGGCCTTCTCCTCGATTGTGCCAGCCATGTGCTCGATGAGGAGCAGCCGCGGCAGCAGTCCAATGGCGCTGATGCAAAGCTGCGGATCACTGGCCGAGGCGGAGGCTATCAGGTTGCATATGTCGGTCATTGTGGCGGCAATGTCGGCCTCGACGGCATCCAGCCCTCGCTGCTGCACTGACTGGTCGTACGCCTCCTTTGTCCTGTTGGATTTGTACAGGTCCCTCGCCTTGTTCAGCACTGCTTGGGGTGAGGGATGGCCATCTGTGGTGCTGACGGCCTCTTCTGTGCTGCCCGACGACTCCATCTCGTCAACCTGCGAAGGCCAGCACACATACAGACCACGCGGAATGGTCCCATGGCCGTCTGTCCTCCTGACCTGTCCACGTCCGCAATGTTACGCTGCTCGCCCAGATCTCACGACCGACACCTGACCTGAGAACCAGCGAGAGAACGGATACATGATGACACGAGATGAGATAGATCTGCAGCAGGGATGCTTTCAGTCACCGTCGTGTGTGCAGGCTGTGATGCTGGAGGCTCACGGGACCGACGAAACGCAACGGAAGCGGGGGAATCAGCGAGCCGAGGACGACGATCGAATGTATGCCTTTCACACTTCTTTCTGGCTGTGTGGCCGCAGATCTGGACCTACGGTGCTTCAGCAGCCACTAACAAATCTTCTTGTCAAGCTTCGTGAAGAAAAGCGGTTGACGACTGATGACGGACTCATCTGCTGATGGCGGGTTGCGGCAATGAGGGAGATGGTGACGTCCGGATGCCGGCGGCCGTCAAGGAGAGGCTCGCCATCTCTCACTACTTCGAGATCGAGAACATTGGTCATCAGGCGGACAGCCGGGTCATCCAGTCGCTCTTCGGCGGCTGCACATTGGTGACGGAGCCTCTTATTCATCTAGCGGAGCGTCTGCCGGCCGCCATTGAGCGATGCCGAGAGGGAGGGGAAGAGGAAAAGGAGAGGGAGGGCGGCCATGTGTGTGGCTACACTGTGGATGAGACTAAGGGCCCGGCCTTCATCCATCGCACTGCGACGGTCTTCCCTGCGGCTCACATCGAGGGACCATGCTATATCGGACCAAATGTAAGTGACCGAGTGCACTGACCAATATGCTTATGCTCATGTGTGTGTGTTTCTCTGGTGTGCAGGCGACTGTGGGTCATGCTGCGTACGTCCGGAGCAACACGGCCATGTGTGAGAACGCCATCGTCGGCCACTCGAGCGAGTGCAAGCACTCCATTTTGCTGCCCCACGCACACGCCCCGCACTTCAACTACGTCGGCGACTCGATCATCGGCTGGCGTGTCAACCTGGGTGCGGGCACCAAGCTCTCCAACCTGCCCATGATGAGCCTCGAGGACATCAACACACAGCAGCAGCAGCACAAGACACCTGCTGACGTCAGAACCGTCAAGATCAGGATCAAGCCATCGCCGGGAGAGGATTGCGACTATGTGTTCGACACGTCGCTGGTGAAGATGGGGGCCGTGCTGGGCGACGGCGTGCAGACGGGCTGCAATGTGGTGTGCAACCCGGGTGTGTGTGTGGGGCGGGGGACGCTGGTGTATGGTGGAGTGTGTCTGCGGGGCGGATACTATGCCCCCAGACAGATTGTCAAGCTGAGACAGGAAATAGAGATCAGCCAGAGGTGGTAGGGACCAGTAGATGTAGCTCAGCAGTGATTGACTGACAGCGTTGACTGAGCTGTTAGAACTCTTCTACTACCTACTGACTTGCACGAGAACCATTTAAATATTTATCTGTTCATCACATCGACAACCCCACAGCGGAGAAACGATTTACAGCATTTGTAAACGGATTTGAAACCACTTTCGATGCGGGGCGTTTCAGCCTTCTTCAGCGCCGTCTGGGTGGCCATTTGCTCGTTGGTATGGCCCGACCTGAAGCAACTGACCGTCCCTCAACTTGCGAAGCGCCTCTCGAGCCGGTTTTCCTTCGTCAGCCTCAGTGCCCTCCGTGAGCTCAGTCGACGGCTGTGGTCAGATCTCGGACGCTGGTGTATGGTGGAGTGTGTCTGCGGGGCGGATACTATGGGCCCAGACAGATTGTCAAGCTGAGGCAGGAAATAGAGATCAACCAGAGGTGGTAGCTAGGCACCAGTAGATGTAGCTCAGCAGTGATTGACTGACAGCGTTGACTGAGCTGTACATGTTAGAAATCCTCTACTGACTTGCACGAGATCCATTTATCTGTTCATCCCATGGCAGCCTTGGACCCCCCTAAGCGATTTACAGCATTTGTAAACAGATTTGTCTGAGGAGATGCGGGGCGTTTCAGCCTTCTTCAGCGCCGTGTGGGTGGCCGTTTGCTCGTTGATATGGCCCGACCTGAAGCAGCTGACCGTCCCTCAACTTGCGAAGCGCCTCTCGAGCCGCTTTTCCTTCATCAAGATCAGACTGAGTGCCCTCCGTGAGCTGCACCGGCGTGTCAAGGAGAATCGCCACGCGGCCACCGACGCCATTCATGCGCTGCCGGTGCTGGTGCGGCTACTCAAGAGCTGCCAGCCCATGATTGTGAGAGAGGCGGCCAGATGCCTGGCAGCCATCGCCATCATCGCTGCTGACGACCTCGATGCGGCTGCTGC